ACTTTTGGCACTTTCACCACATCATGAATTAATTTTATCTGTCAGTGTGACCCATCAAAGTCAGTAGGCGGGTCACTGCGGGTTGTCTACCGAGAGTAACATCTGATTGGTTACCCTGTACAGTAAGTCAAAACAAATAGCTCCCAGATAATGGATCGGTACGGGACCCGTCAACTTACTCCGAGACATCGCCGACGATGCACTCGATCCCAGAGGGTTAACCCAATGAGCAGCATCTGTGTATGCAGGACATTTTATAGCCTGCTGAGGCAATGTCAAGCTGTCTCCAGCCTATCCAGGCATGCCCAGGCTCCAAACTTCCACAGAACAGTTACCAACCTGGCCTGATTCCATGCCTGGACATTCACAGACTGTACAAAACATTGTTGATAGGTCTCTTGCAGAAACAAAAATTTTTGGACACAAATATGAGAAAAAAACTGAAGATTTCGATGACCGGTACGTGATGGCCAATTTGGATGTGATTTTCGTGATCCGCAGCCAAAAATCTATAAGGAACACCCAACACTGTTCAAGAAGCAAAAACTTTATTGTGCAGTGTTATTTGGTAACTCTAAGTTGGCCCTATAATTGTTGGTTCCTGCCTGTGCCCATTGTTCCTGGGATAGGCTCCAGTGACCCCAGTTTGGATTAAGCAGTTACAGTGATGGATGTTAACAGGATCTTTACACTATTAGCCGACACCTTCTGGGTCCGTGCCACCTTTATCACCCTCATGGAAAAGGAGACAGAGCATCCGATTCTTACTACTCCTTCATAAGCTTGTGTTCTTGCACAACCTTAAATGCAAAGAGATGTTCACACACAAGTTACTGTAGGGTATCCATACATGATTTCTGGCTGTGAATTACTGCCAAGATCCCCCACAATGTCCTTAAATATCTTTATCAGGCTATACGCTCCATCCAACAAGCTGGTCTTATATTTTAAAATTCATGACAGTCCACTGTTATGTTTCTCTGACTACAGTCCTTATAATGTCTTCCATTAGTACTGATTTACTTCACTTGGTTTATCATTGATAATCTTCTTATATGATTCTTCTCAATCACTAACCACCGGCAGAACACAGACTTGTAACATTTTACATGAGGAGGCAGAAATAAAATAGTATTACGCTGTCATGACCTGTCCGGTCCATCCCTCAGAATGACCAGTAGAGGTCGCTGCTGATCCTGCAGTATCCCCTAAATGTCTTATTCATCGTCCCCAATCCTCTCGTGCTACCTGCCTTCACCAGCATCATGTCAGCCCTTCATTACTGCTGCGTATGAGTGCTGCCAGGTCCTGTGTTCCCCACTTCGGTCACTGATGTCATTCTCCTTGTCTGCCCCTGCACTTCCCTGCACTGGCCTTCTCAGTCAGACCCCTTGTCGTCTCCTATCCCTGTTCCTGTTTTGTTTAAACAAAGCCCCTTTTCATTCTCCCAACACCTGCCCTCAAGTATTTTGGTTTTTGCATACGGCATAAGCTATTACTTATGTATTAATTAACCACAAACAAAGCCTTAGTGACATACTGATCTCAAGTTTGTTCATCATTAATAATTGTGACGTGTCTTTTTTCTCAAGCCATTACTGTATTTGTTACTATATCTAATTCTATAAACCTTTATGAACTACTGAAGGAACATGAAATGAATAACACGTTAACTACTGATCCCAAGTTTGTTCATCATTAATGAGTCATGATGCATCTTCTATCTCAAGTAGCGACTATATTTGTTCATGATTTGTACCTCAGTAGTAAATGAGTTACTACTAAGCATCTGTGCCCCGTCAAGTAAAGTGTTACTGACAGCATAGTTGGTCCATCGCCTCCTGCCTTCTTTTTGAACCTGGTGTTTCTGTCTCTGTCCTTTTGTTATAATTTGTATGTGGTGCCGTGTGAGTCCATCTCTGCTCTGAACACTCGTCTATTTTTTTAAAGGACTGTTACTTTTTTCAGTGGCTGGCTGTTATTTCTAGGGTGTCCACATAATCGTGCTTTTTTAACAGCCGATGTGTGACAGGAAGCGACTGTTGGCGTAACCAACCTGCTAACCATCGCAGTGAGTCACAGATCTCTCCCTGCCAGGCTGTGCATCTCAGTCACTGCTGCTCTGATCAACAGAGAGACAAAAAAAAATCCCAGACAATGTATCAAATGCTTCAGAAATCCTAGAAAGGGTGAATTCTTTCGAAAATCTCCAATATTTTTTTCTCTCCCAAGTGTCAAGCTGACTTCTATTTAATTTGGTCCCTGTTGTCACATTCACATCCAAAAACAACATCTTATACCTGGCTGCATTGAAAAATGAGAATGTCCCTGATTTAGTTTTCACACACTGTAGGCTACAGTGGTATATAGTATATGGTATATAGTGGTTAGGCTCTGAGCAGGCTGTGTAAATGATTGAACTGGCAGAGCCAATAAAAAGCACAGCAGCACAACATGTGACTGAGACAGTGAACGGTGGCACACACTGCGATCCGTGGACCCTGCAGCCAGCCCACAGAGCAGCCAGGAGCGAGCCGTCTGCCTGGAATCGCGCTCTTTCAACATGAGAAGCTTGTTTCTGCTGGTGCTGTGTACCACAGGTAGGAGACTTTTAAGATCATGCAGTGACAGGGTCCTTCTTACCTGGTGAGGGCGATGCCGTGTTTAAGGGGGAATCTGGAAGAATGTATGAGGTCTGGTGTCTGAGCAGATGCTGTGGTGGAACTCCATCGCAGTGTGAAAGGTGGGAGTGGTATGGAAGGATGGTGGTGGAGATAAATCGGGAATGACTGAGGAGATGCTTATGGAGTGTGCAGAGATGGAGACAGATGGTGTCACATCACTGTCATGCTGTCGCCCTGCTTGTCCATCCCGGCGGGGGGCATGGACACCACGTTAGAGCATCGTAGGACTTCTCATTAATCCCTGTGAAGCTACGAAGTGCTGTGTAGGACCAGTTATACTAATGAGCACGACGTGATTTTAACCAATAACAGTTAATGTAACTGTGTCCATTCTGCAGCAACCTGATAATCTAAAGTGTGACGATCAGCCTGTGTTGTGCACAGCTCCCCATGTGACAGTGCCAGAATGCCAGGAAGCCCCTAGCACACATTGCTGTGTCTCTTATTCCAGCTGCCTTATTGGGTGGGGGGGTCGTAAAGGTTTGGAACATGTTGCCGTGTGCTTCTCTGAAAATGAGTCTGAAAATTGGACTTTGCTTCTTTCGAAAGCATTTCTCGCCATCTCAATATCATATTATGATGTTTTCATGTTAATAAGGAAGGTACAGCTCTGTGTGGCTCTATATCGGGGGGGGGGGGTGCAATCTTATCCGCAAAGGACCGGTGTGTATGCAGGTTTTTGGGGTAAGCTTTAGGTCAGCTGTTCAAACCCAGGCGTGAGGACTCTTCAGCCAATCAGTCCTCTAATTAGTAAACTGATTAGGGGGTTGCAGTGTCCTCTAGGTTCTGATCATGTGCACAGTGGCCTAACTGCTGAGCCACACAGCACCCCCTCCCCCCTTTGCTCAGCCCATGATCAGAAGGTGGCTGGTTCAAAGCCCAGGCAGAGTAGATGGATGCCACCATCAGGCCTTTGAGCAGGAACCTTAACCCCAAACGCTCCAGGGACCGGCTGACCCTGTTGTCACCGTGGATAGAAGTACCTGCCAAATATGTAAAATGTAAATGTAAAGCATCCAAAACAAGGCTGTTACACGCAGTGTTTTTCATCCAGAGTGAATTGCAGCAAACCGCATGCTTACGCTAGCTGCATACTGCAGGCTGAAGCTTCAGTGGCAGAGAAGACGGCTGTCCCCAAGAGTGAGCCTCTAACTGCCTGCTGCTCTCTCTCTCCACAGCCTCACGTAGTCAGGACAGCGATCCAGCTCCTGTATCAACGTGCAGCTTTCCTCCTCCCCCCTCCCCCCATGAAAGCCCCCGCCTTCCTCCTCATGACACTGCACTGACCCTCCCTGACACTGCATTTATACGAATGACTTCTCCAGAGCCCGGGGGTGAAATCACTACGCAATCAGCCACCATTTCCACTAAAGTGTCCCCTAGTGCAACTGACCTGCCTCCTACTAGCACTAATGCCCTGGTTACATACACTAAACTGCCCAATGAACTTACTGACACTACTATCCATTCTACCACCCAGCAGCCCTTTACAAACTTTATAACCACTCTATCTAGTGAAACTAACTCTACTACCGCTCATCCGCCCTTTACTAACTTTACTACAACTCTATCCATTGACACTGACTCTACTACCACTCATCTACCCTTTACTAGCGATAGTACCACTCAAACCGATTACACTGACTCTACTACCACTCATCTGCCATTGACTAATTTTACTACCACTCTATCCAGTGACACTGACTCTACTACCCCTTATCTGCCCTTTACTAACTTTACTGCCACTCTATCCA